CTCTCTCTCTCTCTCTCTCCCTCTCTCTCTCTCTCTCTCTCTCTCTCTCTCTCTCTCCCCCCCTTTCTTCCTCTTACTCTAAAAATCAATTTTAAAAAATGGTTTGATAGGTATGGTCCTTCCTCCACCCCAGCCCTCTCAAAATACTTTGAAGTAATTTGACAACTGAGATCAGGACTCAAGTTTCTGTTCTTTCATTTTCGTTTCTATTCTCCTTTGTCTTCCCTCTCTTCTCAATGCTAAATGTGTAATAGGAACTTGATCAAGGTTATTTTAGTTGAATTGAATTCAGATGACCAGCCTACTACCCCCACAACAAAATGGAGATCCATGTGGTTGAGTAAGTCACCATAGTTTATTAATATTTGTGAACAATACATTTTCCAGAGCACAGCATTATAAATATTAATATTAGAATCAGTGGAAATAATGAGTACAGATCAAATGTTTTTAAAGTGATAATTTCTCAGAAGTGTATATTTTCAGGTCATTGAAGATTATAAGCAATCGGTTTGGACAAATAATTTTAATTTTTTTAAAAGAATTTTGTGGACAAATACTTTTTAAAGACCTCTCTTGCTCTGTGAAAGTGACCCAATATAAATGAATAAAATATTTAGTTTAATTGAAAATAGATGTATTTCTCTTGTAGAATTCTAATAATCTTCTTATTCACTTTGAAAACCTTAGAGTAAAATTACCAGTGATCTTTGGAACTTGTGTCATTGAAATTGACACAATTATCCCAGTAATACTTTAAAAATTTTATAAAGCTTTTTTCAGTATGTTATTAAAAGCCTTCTTTTAAAATAGTTATCTTCGGACTGTCTTACAATACAGGGTTTTATTTGTGTATGTTGATAGTCTCAAGCCATTTTGCATAATGCAGTTGTATGATAGATGGGAGCAGGAGTGATAGGCAGTAAATGTGATCACCAATTATGTTGAAGCTCGTTCCCTTTAAAGTGTGCAAGAGAAAACTAGCAGTTATCCATCCCTAAAGCTGGGTAAAATGAATAAAAAGTGATGGAAACCCACAACCACCAAATCATTATGGCTTTGCTGACAATTTAATTATTTAATCCAAACTATTATTTCAATAGATTTAAACATTTTTTTCTTCAACTTAGCTAAGTCAGAGTCACTTCTCTTATACAGAAGTTAAGCCCATTGCCACTTCATCTGACGATAGTAAAACCCTTTTCACTTCCACGTGTTGGGGAATCACCCAGCCAAAGGTCATGGTACACATGCAGGGAAAAATAAGTGCAGGAGCTCTCTGAAGTCAGTATTCATCATGGAATGGATATTCAGGATGACCAGACAACCTGCCACCCTGGGCACTTCCCTTCACAGCTCTGTCACCAGTCAAGGTCACCCTCCTCTCTGTACAGTGCTTCCTCGCCCTTCTCACTAGACCTCCTGAGAGTTGATAGTTTGAGATCTAGAAGGTGATGACCAGCAAAGGAAGTTTCTGCTATAATGATGACAGTGATGATGCTGAACCTGTCTCTTAAATAGCAATAGCATAGTACTCATACAAGTACTATGAGCTTTCAATTAAAATAAACATGGACACAGACTATAGGGTCGTGAAGGCCTGGGGGAGGGGCCAGGGCAGGCTAGAAGTGATTAATGGGGGAGAAAAGGGACATATGTAATACTTTCAATAAGAAAGATTTAATTAAAAAATTAAAATAAAATACAAATTAAATTAAAACAGAAAAAGGCTGTGAAATCCAGTCAGGAATAAACTGGATGAAAAACAAAAAAGACTCAGGGCCCAACATGCCTAAATAATATATTTTTTCAACCCACGGGGCCTAATATTTGTTTCTCCTTGTGATATTTCTATTCCTGGTATGATGAGTTATTTTTTCAGTGTTTCTAGAATTAGGTATTAAACATTTCAAATGTCAAAATAAGTAATATTACTAACTAATTGTCTATAAAAATAATCAGTACATTGGTGGACTGACTACATCCTAGTATCTCTTCCTAATTTAATATTTATTCAATAGAAACCATTTATTTTTCAAAGGTATTAATTAACCTACATGTTTTTTTAATTCTGAGTTTGTTTATTCTTTCATTCTTGCGGTTAGATGTCAAAATATTTTCCCCTGGAAAATTCACAGGCCCCTGCTATTTTATTCATTCAGAAATGGATTCAGAAATTTGATATTAAGGCAGTCACAGTAGTTTTTGACTCTTGAAAAACTTGGGGTCCAAAGTATCCAAAGTATCTGAATTATTTTTATGAGCATTTAGATTGCTCACTTAAAGAGAAGATGACTATTCAGGTGATCTGAAGAACTGGACATATTAATAAAGAATGATTAAGAAGAAAAAATTGTGTGTATATAAATACATACCATGTGTGTATATTCACTTTTTATTTTCAAGGACCGATAATATCCTATCTAACAATAGACAAAGATTGAAATTAACCATACCTCTGCTATGCTTCCCATTGGCTAGTCAGCGAGATATGCAAATTAAATGCCAACAAAGATGGCAGCTGGCAGCCATGCAGCTGAAGCGAAAAGAAGGTTTGCTTGCTCCAGTGATGGAGGAAGCCAAGGTTCCCCGCCTGCCGTGGCTGGGCTCTGCGCTCCAAAAGCAACAAAGTTGTAATCATACAAGCTAAACAAACCCAGATACCTGCTTTCAGCAGGCTGTGGCCTCGGAGATGGGACAGCAACAAAGTTTCAATTATAGAAGGTAAATAAATTCCAGAATAAAAAAAAAGAAAAAAAGGAGAGGCTGGGAGCTTCAGTTGTCTGCGGGCTTCGTCAGCCTAAAAACCCTCAGCCCCTCAGCCAGACTGGCCAGCCACCCCATTGGGACCCCCACCCTAAAGGTGGTGTGGCCACCCTGAAAACAGCCATCAGCCCCTCATCTAGGCTGGCCAGGCACACCAGTAGGGACCCCCACCCTGAAGGGGGTGTGACCAGCTGCAAACAGCCATTACCCCCTCACCCAGGCTGGCCAGGCACTTAAGCGGGACCCCTACCCTGATTCGGGACAATCTTCAGGTTAAAACAGCTGCCCCCCACCCGGGCACCAGGCCTCTATCCTATATAGTAAAAGGGTAATATGCAAATTGACCCTAAAAGCAGAAAGACTGGGCATGACTGGTCACTGTGACACACACTGACCACCAGGGGGCAGACGCTCAGTGCAGGAGCTGCCCTCTGGTGGTCAGGACACTCTCACATGGGAAGAGCTCTGCTCAGCCACAATCCAGGCTGATGGCTGCCAGTACAGTGGTGGTGGTGGGAGCCTCTCCTGCCTCCTCAGCAGCACTAACGATGTCTGACAGCAGTTTAGGCCTGCTCCCTGCTGGCAAGTGGACATCCCCCGAGGGCTGTTGGGCTGCCAGGGGGATGGCTGATTGCCAGATTAGGCCCAATCCCTCGGGGAACAGGCGACTAGAAGTTTCAAATCTTATAGGTGAGCATTCATCTAAAACTAATTTCTTGATTAGTCAAAGAACATAAATACATAGCGCATGGAAACAGACAACAGTATGGTGATGGCCAGAGAGAGGAGGGGGTGCGGTCTGAGCTGGGTGGAGGTGGGTAAAGGGGGGAATGAGTACATCTGTAATAGTGTCAACAATAAATAAAATAAAACTAGTTTCTTGGCTCTCAACTTGATGCTCTTTCAACTACACTCCCATATCTGTCTCAGGAAGTATTTTTTATTGATTTGTGCATCACTTTGATTTTTAGGAAGAAATACATATGGTGTTTGAATAATTGTGGTGTGAGTGTATTAATTTGAATTGTATTATTTATGCACTATGACTAAATTCTTCTTAAGGTCTTTAGCCTGCCATGCCTTAACCTGTCATAGGATGTGATATCAATGCCAGAAATCTCCTTTTAAATAAAAATGTAGATTTACAGGGAGTTCCTAAAATGAATGTAATTTACCCAGACCAATTTAGTATTCAGAATATGCTGCCCAGTGGCCTTTAGCCTTGTGCTTTCTGTGGACATAGGTCCAGGTTCATAAGAGCCCACTTGGTGATGCTTTTCAAACTAACACCACTGGGTGGTACCTGATTAAGGATCACCCAGAACTCACCTGAGCTGACCTGCTAAGCGGACATCTCTATTCAAGGTTTCGATGGTCTTCATTTCTTCTGTAGTGAGAGAAAAGTCAAAGATCTGAAATAACAGAAATAAAAGACAGACGTTTATAAAGATAGAAAATGGGTCAAGCTTGGGATTATAGAGTGGTACCAGCAATTGGAAACCTTCTAAGATTTATGAACATCTCTGAAAATGTCTAAGAGGAGTTGGTCTAGTGCTGGGGTTCCACCTAATGGAAGTGGAGCAGGAATTCTTTTCTGCTTCTGTGTCTTAAGATAATTCTGCTAGGGACATCTTACAAGAAATTTTAAATGCTGTGAAACAGTGTATGTTCAGGACATCTGAAGAATTCTTATTATTTCTGGATAAGAT